TATACCACCTCGGAAATGTGCTGTGCCGGGTCCATCCTGGGTTTGACTGGCTGAGGCGCCATCTTGGAAATGCCCCCTCCAAGATGGTGGCCCCCTCCGTCCTCACAGAGCTGGGGGGACCGTGAGGCCCCCACATTTGCGGTGGCACCTCAGCCTCCCTGAGTCTCTGGCTCGGCTCTTATCTAAGAAAGGCATTTCATTCTTCGAGATCAGGCAGCCAGGACCTAAGGAGCTGTTTTTCCTCCATTGTGCAAGCATGACAAATCATTAATTTTTGATTGATTTGCTTAGAATTATGGGCGCCCCAGCATTCTTTCCGCCGCTGAACAGCTGTATAACAAATGAATATATCAGTGTGCACAAAAGATTGGAGATCTAAGAGAAGCAATTACATTGGCCACCCTCCCCCACCCTCACCCCTTCCCGGGCAATGAAGGGAGGAAATGTTTACCAGAAATTCCTCAAGTGGCTTAAAAAAAAAAAAAAATGCCTTTTTATAATTGAATTAAATCTTTATCTCTTCATCTTTTGCAGCAGGTTTCCAAACACACACCGGTTCCCCCATGTGCTTGGGTTTTCTACCCATCCAGGAGGAATCTTTAATAATGAAATTTCAACTTGTGAATTAAAGCCAAAATGAAAAAAAGGAAAAAAAGAAAAGAGCAAATTCCACCCCACCTTTTTGCCTTTTTTTTTTTTGGTCGCTGCTATTCCTTTAAGATTTTGGAACCGTACCAGTGCACTAAATGTGACCTCCATAACTTTTAAATTAAGAATTTATGCTGGCTTGAAATTTATGAAATATTTCAGCATGAAAGAAAGCCTTTTTCCCTCAGGAAAATTGAGCAATAAATCACAGCACTGTGGATTTACTGCCCTAGAGCCAGCGAGAGATAGGATTTTTTTTTTTTTTTTGCTTCATTCTGAAAAAAAAAAAAATGTAATCATATAAGACAGCTTAGCTGCTATCCTCCCACTCTCTAGAATTTTTAATTTCAGCTGTTTCTGCTTGGATTTATTTCCAATATTCCTGCTCGGCTTTTCAATTTCCTCAGTTATTAAATTTTAATTCAGTGCATTAGCATTTAAATTAAAAAAGGGTTTATTTTATCGAAATCGTTGGCCAGCCCCCATCCCGGAGCACACGAATTGCCTGTTTCTGCCATTTGCACAAAATGTGAAATGCAGCTAATGTCTTACAACTTACATTTGCACAAATTTAGAAATAAAATTTCTGGGTTTGGAATAATATTTTCTTTCCAAGAAAACCCTTAATAAGAGAATGGAAAGGAACAACTTCACATTCATTTGGGAGGGAAGAGGAGGGTCGAATGAAACCAAAAATAACCTCGCCCAGGTCCTGAGGGGAAGCTGGTGAATGAGGAACGGGATGGGGCTGGAAAAGGGGGCTGGGTACCCTTGTGGGAGAGGGGCGGGGGGCTGGAGGGCTTGAATACCTTCAGCGCAGCTATGTAGGAGTATTAGGAGGGTCTCCCTTGGGCCCTCCTTATTTCATTGGCCATAGAAGGGTCTGGTTAAGTTTGGGGTCAGCCCAACACAGGGACAGAGATGGAAGGGAGGGGGCAGATGATCTGACTTAACCCCCTGTCCCCAACCCCATTTTTACCTTTGGAGAACCTCAGATCCAGAGACAGGAGAGCTTGTCTAAGGTTCACAGTGAGACCCAGACAGAGCTAGGGCGAGAAGCTACATCCTTTAGGAGCACACGTTCCAGTGGCAGAAGACAGTGGTACAACAGCACCTGCGATAGGGGTTTCCATTACTTAAGTGATTGCTACGTGGCATGGGTTTAGTGCTTTACTTACATTATTATTTTCAACATCATCCTGACCAGACCATTGGAGAAGGCCTTGGGGCTGCGCTGTTGGACGCACGTGAGATGCCAGCTTGTAGCATGGGATTCTTGGCAGGCTCCAGGGCAGAAGATCCAAGGTCCAGTCTAGGCTGGCTCGGTGACTCCTTCCTCTGCTGTGTAATCTTATACATGTCATTCTGTGTTTCTCTTCCTCAGTTTCCTAGACCCAATAAATGGTGGCCTCTATAACCATATCTAGGGTTGTTAATGATTATTATAATTATTATAGCCGAGCCCACACTAAGTATTTTTGCATAAGTTACCTTATTTAAGTCATCTTGTTTAAGTCTCTCCAGTCTGGTGAGGTAGGTCCCAGGAATTGCGTCTGGCCATTTTGTAGATGAGGAAACTGAGGCCTTGGGAGTACAGATGACTTGCTGAAGTTCACGCAGCTACAAAATGGCAAATCCAGGACTCGAACTCAGACTATCTGACTCTAAGCCCTGTGCTCTTAAGCTTCAGTTCAAGTTGAGAATGAGGTCGGCTTACACCAGGTAAAGGTGAGTTTGTGGTTTAGGTTAAATCATATAAAATGGCTGATGTTAGACCGTTTTGACCTTGGAAGGTGGCAACATCAGAGGTTTGGCTTAATCCACACAGAGGAGATGGCCCTAATATATTTGTGAGGACACAGACCAAGCCGGCCTGGTGTCATAGGGGCCTCTGCCCTGGGAGTTGGTGCTCCCAGCACTTTGGGCTTTGGCCCTGTCATAAGACGCCATGATTGCCTGTACTGTGATACTGACATGAGTGTCCTGGGCATCTCCCACCGAGTCGTCCCTCAATACCCCAGTGAGACACCCTCATCTGCCCAGGTGGAGCACCTTCCTCCCGTCACCTCACTCACTGCTCCAGCCACCACCTTAGGCTGTGCAAAAGGGTTTGTGTCTATAACTCTTTGAATATTTTTAGCATTTTGTCTTTGTTTTATAAAAATGAGTGGAAAACAGAAATGAGTGTAGCTACCAGTGATACAAAGCTAAAGTATCACCCACTCAATAAAAAAGACACAAAGATGGAGATTATTAGGTTTGCTGAAAATGGAGGATCTTTTCCCCACTCTGTCACGTGTACGCTGCACTTGAGCTGGTCAACTGTGTGAAATTGTGAAGGAATAGGACAAAAAAGACAACTCAAAAAGTATGTATGAAATGCTAAAAATACACACCCAGAGTTAAGTCTGGAAGGTGGAGAGATCATTTGGGATTTTGCAAGTTTTTAAAGCTCTCTGGGGCAGCAGAATTCCCACCCCCACCACTTCTGCTTATGATACGAACACGAGAACAACTTCTGCCCGTTCGCTTTGCCTTGTTTTCAGGAATGCGAGATGTCGGAGAGGCTGTAATTGGTCTGTTCTTTTCCTCTCAGTGAGACGATATGCAAACTGTTCTCCGCTTTCTTCTTTCTCCCGTTGAAATAATACATCAGCATCCCATTAATTTCTCCCTCCTTATTTCTCTTTAACCTTTCCGTTCCCCGCGTGTGGGCAGTGGGGACCGTGTGGTGCTGCCCCGTTTCCCCATCGGCTCTCCTGAATGTTCGTGGGAGATAAGATATTCCAGAGCCGAGGAAGGTGGGCTTCGGAGTGACCCAGACCACAGCTGGCAACTGTGGGACTTTCCATAAATAACCTAAGTTCTTCGACCTTCAGTGTTCTTAATCTGTAAAATGGGGATATTGTGTGTGGGGGGGACCTATGGTAAGGATTCAGTGAGACAAGGCATTAATGTCCCTACACTAGGGCCTGATGGGACGTTCTCTGGGTGAGCATGTGTGGATACCCACAGGGGCAAAACAGGTGCTGGGCGTAAAGGCGAGAGGGAGGGGTGGGGACTTCAGAGAACCAGATGTGTCAGCTCTAGCTGCCTGTCACCAGGTGTGACTGGGGTTGCTGGGTTATCCAGTTTTTTAAGAGAAGCTGGAAATCTGGCCTTTTTGTGGTGCAATCCTTTTATTTTTCCACGTTGCCGATTTGTTCGAATCAAAGCCTGCCGTCCGATTTTGCCAGTTTGCAACTTCTCGTAAGCACTCATCAAAAGGTAGCTGCTGTTTTTATTTTAGATCCTCAGTCCTTCATCTGAAGTCCTGAAATTTGAAAAGCATGAAAACAAAAAGATGTTTTGTAACTGATGAGGCAGCAGAGCTTGACCTGAAGGGAGACGAGACTAGTTACCTTTGTCACTGTTGTCGTTTATCCCAAGTAGGGTTACCTGGGCACACATCTCTCTGCAGAACTATCAATGTGCTTGATTACCAGAGGTTCCGCCAGGGTTGTTTCAAAATATAGGACATATGTAGTACATTACCTTTCTAAAACTGGAAGAACTCCGTATTTGGAAACATGTGCACCTGCACCGAATTATCCTATGATTCTTATTATAAACGTTTGGACGAAGCTAGGGAACGCGTCTTCAGCCGGTGGTGGTGGGGGATCTAGGCATTGTTCCTGTGACTGCAGCTTCCTTTGGTGTCTGCATTGAGGTGCCCCCCGATACTGGCCTATGAGCCAGGACCCCAGGTGTTTGTTTTCGTGAGACTTCAGGCTGCCCCCCCGGCACTCAGGACCTCACTCTCTACATCTGAACCAGAATTTTATGATTTCTGAAAATTTCATTTGGTCAGCCTTCTCTCCCCCTCCCCCCATGGCCAAATAAAAGAGATTAAGACCCCGCACTCTCTTGCCTTCCCCTGCTCATAGGGTTGGGGGACAGAATATTTTAACATAATAGGATTTTTCCCCTCTGGTTGGTAGGAATAAATCTGCAGCTACTGTTTTATTGGAAATCCCAGCTGAAAATAAAAATGGTGCAATTCAATCTCAGATTTAGCTGGTTACTTACTTTTCACTGAGTCCCCAGGGCTCTGTGGTTGCGGGGTTTGTGTTGGCAGTGGGTGTTCAGCCAGATTTAAAGGGCCGAGCAAATGGGGTTGGGGGAGGTGTCCTGACTCCCTCTTACCACTGGGGGCAGGTTTTTCCAGCCTGGAGGCATGGGGCAGGGGGCTGTGGCCAGCTCACCCCTCTGTCTGAAGGTTGGTGTTCAGCAGGAGCGTGGTGGGGTGGCAGCGGGTGGAATCTGGCATCTTCTGCCTTGGCTGATGCAGGTGTTTTGGGTTTCTTTTGCAGGCTGACGGAGCCAGTGCAGCTGGAAGGAAAAGCACTGCAAGCAGGTACACCTCCCACCCCCAGCTTGTGTCCCCCTCCCTGTCCCAGGTCTTCACGACTAACAGCCACCACTCTCTGGTCCTCACCTTCCGCCTGAAAGGACGGATGGGCCAGGCCAGCTCTCTTTGCTGAGAAGTATCCACACTTCCCCTGGGGATGTGAAGTCGTGTACAGCGTTTTCCATGTGCCTTCTGTAGGTGCCTGCGAGCAGAATCCAAGGATGACTCATTCCTGAACTGGCTGTTGGCCGCTCAAGTTGGGAAGAATTTGGGGGGAAGCACAGGAAAGATCGGGGCTTGAATTTCGGCTGGGCTGCCGCATGGTGAACTCCAGAGGGAGCCAGTCCCAGCCTTGCTTGGAATTCATTGGTCCATGTGCTTGGGTTGGGTGCTCCTTTCCCGGAAACGGTCACTGCAGAGCAGGGGCTGGGGTACTCTGAGTAGCCAGACCAGGGGTCCGTCCTCACCCTTGGAGCTGGTGTGAGGTGGGAGAGGGGAGGTCCCCACAGGCAAGCTGGGCTATTGTTACCAAAAACAGATGAAGGAGATACCAGACAGGCTGTCGTCACAGGTGGCACAGGTGGGTACTTGGTAAATGTTAGCACTGATGCTGCTGCTGCTGTTCATTGGGTGGAGCAGAGCTGGAGTGGCCACGTGACCCTTATGTGGGGCATTGGAGGCGGGAGGAAGGCGAGGGACAGATACAAGAGATGGCTCCCCAGAGCATGTACATAAAATCTGGAGTAGGCCCTAGGGGTCACCTATTAGAGTTGAGGGTCACATTACAAATGCCAAGCAGAAGAATTTGCCCTTTAGCTTATGGAACACTAGCTCTTTAAAATGTTAATACATTTTTTTTGTGTGTGTGTGTGGGAAAGAAAAGCGTTCTTTCTGTGGCCAAGTTCAGAGGACAGCGGGTTAAACAAAGTCAAACAGGTTCCTTTGCTGTGGGACTTTTCAGAGCCTTTAATATACTAATGTGCGTGCTTGAGAACATCCAAGAGAGAGAGGAGAATGTCACGCTTCTCAGCCTTCTTAACCTTGGGACCTTTTTATTGACATTCATTCCATTGAACGAGTGTTCCTTGGAACATACTTTGGGAAACTATGAAGAGGTGTTGAAGTTCTTTGAGCAGAAGTGTAACATGCTTGGCTTCGTGTTTCAGGAAGATCCTGTCAGCCATTTGTCAGGTGGATTGGAGGCCATGACACCAGGCCAGAGGTCCCTGAGACCCCTCATGGCCTGGCAAATATTTTATGCTTTGTAGCCATATGGTCTCTCTGGCAGTTTCTCAGCTCAGCCAGTGTACTGCTGAAGTAGCCATAGATGATATATAAATATGTATGTAAATTGCTGTCCTTTGCCACCCCCCGGTCTAAACACTCCTGCCTCAGAGCCATTGCAGCTGCTGTTCCCTGTGCCTGGAACGTTCTTTCTCTGGTCTTCCTGTGATTAGTGCCGTTTCGTCTTTTGGGTCTCAATTCAGTCATCCCCTCAGAGCAGCTTTCCCTGACTCCCTATTCAGGGGACCCACCACCCCAGTCTGTGGCCAGTGGCCTCCTTTCTAGCCTGTTCATGCTGTTTAAGGATTCCATTTATTTCTGTACCTTTTTTCCTGTCCCTCTTAGAGTGCCAGCTCCATAGGGTGGGACCATGTCTGTCTGGTTCGCAGCTGTGGGCCCGGCCCCGAGCAGGCACTCTGCAGATGTTCATGGGGTGGGTGCACTGGATGAGAGGGCGGGTGTGGGAGTGATGTAGGGGCAAGGAGTGTGGGCTGGGATGGAGGGGGAAGAGCCCAGACGGAGGTGAGACAGTGGCCGTGGGCCTGTGGATGTTGGCAGTGACCCACGTGGCCAGCAGCTGCCCAGCATCTTGTGTTTTTCTCCTGGGCCCCTGGTAGTGGAATTCTGTGTAAGAACTGTGTATGAGGCTGTGGTGGTCCTCAGACTGACGGTGTCGGGAAGCATTTCTTGGATCAGAACATCAGGACTGGAAGGGGCTGGTTTGTCTAGTTCACCCTCTCATTGTACAGTGGGGAGATCGAGGCCTTTGGGAGGAAAGTCTGTGCTCAGGGTCACGTGATGAGTGAGGGGCTGTGTCAGGCCTTGAACCTGCCAAAGCCACTTCCTTCTTCACTCAGAGATGCTGTGCCCCAGTGAGGGTCTAGCAGCCTCTCCCACCTTCCTCCCATGTTTACTGAGCACCTGCTGTGGCAGGCCCAGTGCTGTGGGCTCAGATGGATTAGATGCTAATTTATTCATCCAGCAGCCATTTGAGGGTCTTCTGCGTGGCAGGCACTGTTCTAAGTGCTGGGTCTGCAGCAGTGAGCGAGAGGCAAAGCTCCATCCACCCTTCATCACTCTTATGGGGATGTGGTCCTTGCCCTCACTCTCCCCTGCACGGATCTCTCCCTCACCAGCATCTCTGCCTGGTGATTGTAGCCAGAGGACAGCAGGCAGGTTTCCCTATGGTGGTCATGGCTGCCTGAAGCTCCAAATTGAGTATTATCAGCCTAAGGCTGCAGTCAGTGGGAGAAGAGTGCTGAGGTTGATTAGAGATGCCTTCCTGGTCAGGGGAAGGGGAGGGTGGCGTGTGTGCCATTGATTTGTCTCCCTGGTTGGCCTAGGCTCTCCGGCATGCATGCTCAGTGACTGAGCCCCCCGTGTTGGTACCAGAATATGTACCAAGGAGGGCCGGCCCAAACCTCAGGGTCATGTGTGACTTGAGGTGTAAAGATAAACTTTGTAATAATAATGGCCACCCTTTAGTCAACATTTCCTTATCAGGCTCTGAGCTAAGTGATTTACGTGTATTAATTTATCAGTTGTGTGCAATCTTTATAACAACCCCACAAGGAGGTACTGTTATTATTCCCATTTTACAGACAAGGAAGCCGAGGCACAGAGAGGGTCACCAGCCTAAGGCTGCCTAGCTAGAAGTGAGCAGTAGAGCCAGGGTGCCCACCACATGTGACTTCTGTGACACGTGCACTCAGCCACTGCGCCCTCCTGCTCCTTGGTGGAAATGGATCAGTTGGTGTATGTTACATGAGCCCGTTTGGGGCGGGGACCATGCTGTCAGCTGGGAGCCTGTCAAGAAGGCAGGACTCCGGTGGAGCTCACAGGCAGATTGATACTGATTCTGTGTTTCAGACTCATCCTTTGAAAGACCAACATAATATTACTGAACAGTGACTGGATGTTCAGTCTGAGAAGTGAATTACGCATTAAACGTCAAGACAACGTGAGCGGAGGCCTTACCAGTAACCACTGGTGAATTTGCCCCTGGCCAGGTGGGGTTTGGAGGGGTAGATGCTTTGCTTATTTAGTCCCTGTTTCAGGTGGCAAAATGAAGGTCCTAATGTTTCCCCAAAGGCAGAATTAGGCTACATAGCCCAGGGCAGGAATGACCTTGAAGGACCCCCAACCCTGACGTGGGCCCCCCAGCTCTGCCCTGGGACACTCTGTTATTACACCAGGGTCTGCTTTCATCCCAGCTCCTTCCTCTTGGCCTGGAACACGTAATTCTGTTATTTCTCCAGAGGGCCTCTGGCTAAACCCCAAAATCAACAGCATGGGCTGCTAAGGAATTAGTGTTAAATTGAGGGGGACAAGGAGAGGTGGTGTTTCTGATTTTAAGAAACAACCAAATGTGGTTTGGTTTACTTCCTTGTAACCCAACCTGGGTCGATTTTATAAGAGCGGTGATCCCAGCACTCGAGGTTAATCTTGACCTGGTGCGCAGGTTACAAATCCACGTAGCACAACTGCAGCCAAACCTCACTTATTCTAAGGGGTATGGGGGCTATAGGGCCTTAACTGCGCATTCTAAAGGAAACACAGTTTTTATAATCAAGTAAATGCAGTTACAGGCTTGCTGTAATGAAGAGTGATGGCTGTTTTCGTCAGCTGAGGGTTTCTAAGCCGGAAGGACTCTATAGATAATCTAGTCCAACCCTCCAGTTTTGGAGACAAGGAAACTGGAGATAGAATAGGTTAAAGGACTAATTCCTTTACTTTGTATAATAATAATTCCTTTGTATGTTTCCTTTACCTAACAAGTGGACAGGCTCTTATCGACGGGCTCTTTTAGACAGGGAGGTTGGGCAGGGGAGAAGATGATAAAACCAAGTTTCATTCATTCATTCCACAAATATTTATTGAGTGCCTACTAAGTGCTGGGCGCTGTCCTAGGTGCTGGAGATACAACAGTAAACAAAACAGAAATCCCTACCCTTATAGAGCTGATGTTCCAGTTGGAGTAGAGCCGTGGTAATAAAAAGATAAAATACTGCTTGTTAGATGGTAACAAATGCTGGGGGCGGGGAGAAGCTGAGAGGGAGATAGGGAGAGCTGGAGAGGGTAATTTGAGTGGTCAGGAAAGGCATCGTTGCAAAGGCGACTCCTGAACAAGGAGCTGAGGGGCCATTTGGGGGAGACACATCCCAGGCAGAGAGCGCGGCAGGTGCAAAGGCCCAGGAGCTGGAGCAGCAGCCAGGAGGCCCATGTGACCATGTCGGCCCTTGGAGACCGTTGTCAGGACTTTGGCCCACACTCCACGTGAGATCAGGAGCCACTGGGGAGTTTGAGCAGAGAAGTGACACGATATGATTTGCTTTTAAAAGGATCGTTGTGGCTGCCGGGAGGAAAATGAACAATGGGGGCGGCGGGGGTTAGGTGTTACAAGAGATGGTTCTGAGGGTTCTGGACAGACAGGACCTTAGAAAGCAGGCTTAGCAGTGACTTTCTGAGGGTTCACGTTTTTCAAGCTTAAGGACTCCAGTCCAGCAGAGGATGGTGTGAAGCCTGCATCCCAAACCGCACAGCCTCCTGCTTGGTCCTGGGGTGGCCCCAGAGTGGAGCAGCTGTGCTCCTATGGCCCCCACTCTCCATGGCCCCCTCCCCCACATTCCCTGTCTGGTCTGTCGGCATCTTCTTTGGCCCCTCCTCAGCCCTGTTACTGGCCCAGCCTCCTAGCGCAGAGACGAAGAGCTCAGACCGGCTGG